CCATATATATATATATATATATATATATATATATGTTTATAAGTTGCTTATGATTAAGTATGCCTCACATATTAATACATAACGTGTTCATTTCATGCGTAGGTTAAATACCAGCTGAGTATGAAGATCAACAAACATCAAGTCGGAGTCGCCTAATCAGTAACAATATAACATATACGTCTACTTTTGATATATTTTAGTTGGAATGTAATAGGTTTATTAAACCGCTCTGTAAAACTTTTGAATTAAACTATTGTAAAACGGTGAAACTTGGAACATCTCTTTTTATTTGTATATGTAAGATAATGTATGCTATAATTATACATAAATTATAATGGTTTATAAAATTAAACAATATTATACGGATTTTCAAATGGGAAACTGTTTTAAAAGTGATGTGACATACTAGTTCGTATACGTAAAAGTATACGGGAGATGGGTGTTATACTCACCATCCCAGATCAATTTCATTTTTGACGTAGATCTACCCTTACTCTCTCGATATTAGGTATATATTCCTAGAAGAATGGAAATTTCTCGTAAATTCTTACAAAGTCTAGGAATGTTTTGTCGAGGCACTAGGCAATCTCTCAAAAGCTCTTACAGTGTCAAGACAAAATATTAAAACAATGAACAAAGCAACATTAAGCATACGTAAACTTCTTCATTTAATAAAATCCAAATAATGTTTCATCAAAACAATAACCAACACCAAGTAAAACAGTTCATGGTGCGACAATATCATCCAAAAGTTAAACATCCAATACAAGCCCTTTAAGAAAATTGGAAATTAAGAACAAAGGAAGAAACACTCCCAAAAAGAACTCTGTCATGACATTTTGACCACCACCACGCCTGCTCCAACGGCCAGCCTCTCTCGAGGGCCTAGCCTCTGCTCTGGCGAAGCTCGGCTATGGAGGGTACCAAGGACGGTCGAGTGGGGAACGGTGGAAAATAAGGTGATGCAGCCGCTTACTCCAAGCCTAGGGTAAATCCTCTCCTTGATTGTCTCTTTTTTTGGGGCAACCGTAATAAGGTATTTATAGTGGGAATTTCTAGGGTTTTGTGGACTTGAAAATTCCCTAAATACCCTCATTGTTTTAGCCATTTTACAAATGGAATAGCGACTGGAAGTGGTCAATTTACTTGAAGGTGTGATTGCACGTGAGGATGAAGCTGAGAAAATGACGTCAGTAGTTGTTGAGACACGTCAGATCTGCAAGATAAATCTTGCCTCGACAAGAAAAATATGTTCCTCACTGTCGTCTTCTTATGTTCCTCTAGCTTTGGGAAATAGTTTTTGTCTCGATAAATAAATTCTTCCTTAGTTATTTCCTGCATCAGTATAGCCAACAAAGAACCTTCCTCCTCAACGGGATCAGTTAAGCTAAATAAATCTTGCCTAGGCAAAATTTATTCACCACATGAAAATATGAACTAAATGCAACTAAAATGCTATGACAACAGCTTTTAGACTCACAATAACTTAAGTAAAAAGAGAGAAAACATAGTTGTTTTACGGAGTTATTAGTGTTCCCAGGAAGTAAAACTTGCTACCAGTCGATTCTTCTTCCAACTTTAAATCATAACAACATCCAAACCAATGTCTACTTTTTTGAAATGAAAGTGTTTTGATTTGTAAAGGAAAAGGTGGATTGTCAATCCTAGTTTGCAGAAAATTGAGAATATAACCCAAAGATATTAGGTGATTTTCAATTATCACAATCGGAATTGAGTCATTGCTTCAAGCTTTGGTTTATTGGAAAATTAGCTAAGTATGTTAGAGATCATACTTAGCATTTTAAAAATAATAAAGAAAAGAAAACTTGAAAAGTAAAATAAGAAAGAAAATAAAACTTTATAAAATACCAAAGCAAAGAAGAAAGGTAATTCTGAATGTGTTTTCAAGCTTACCCTCATAATGTATTTATAGCTTTCTAAAACCCTAAAAATGATAAAAGATAGTTCTTGGAAAATATTCAAATTAAATCCAAAAAACACTAGAAAATTCTTAATTCAAATGTTTAAAATGTGGTTGACTTGATCATCCTTCTAAAAGTGCTAACTAGACCTTTTGGAATATGCTAACTGGATGCCACGTCAGACGCGTCATGCTCAAAGTCATGCTCACTAATCCATCCTTGATTCCAAAATTAAAAAAAAAACTGTAGAACTTTTTCTTTTTAGTGCAATTTCTTGAATTCGACATCCTACACAAAAAAATGAATTAAAACGCCCAAATCTGCAACCTAAACTAATAAACAATGAGTAATTAAAGATAAAATAGTAACTAAATAAACCACCTATCAAAGGGGGTTGTCGATGTCCAAAAACTCAAAAATTATTTTTAGATGTCGTTCTATGGGTTTAGTTTCAGTCTGTAAATGTTTAGCATCAAATACCTTTAGCATTGTTTTGTAGAAATTATTGAATGGAGGAACCCTAAATCTATCGAACAAATTTGAATGATTCTTTTGAGGGTGTATTGATGTTCGACTGGTCTGAAATTTTTAATGGAAACCACTCTTGGGATGAATAATGTACCTGTAAAAAATTAGCCCCAAATTTCTTCATTTATTTTTTCCAGGATTTTAATTTTTTTACCTTTTTTTCATTTTATTTTTCATTTTTTTATTTTTGATAAAAAACAGAAAACTAACAAGAAAGAATTTAAACAAAATTAAAAGAAAGCAAAAAGAACCTGAAAATGATCAATTGTCGCGAACTAGCTCCGTTGAGGTACCTTGATGTTGATGTGTGCAGGAACAAGCAAGATTACTTGATTCTCTCCAAGAATTGATCTAAATCTGATACTAATTGATAGAAGATGGTAGTGGAGTGATGAATGTTGCTCGAAGTCAAAGAATCAAGCCTAGAGATCTAGATTCAATCAAAGAACAAGATTGGATGTAAATAGGGTTTTTGTCGCAAACTAGGGTTTCTTGAATGAGGAGGTTATTGAAAGTCAAACAAGAAGATAATGATTAAGAAAATAATATAATAATGATGATAAATATGTAAAAGAATTACGAAAAGACAATTAAAAATATGAAAGAACTTGAATTGAAAGTTCCTTTTGGTATGTGAAGATGGCTATGGTCATGTAGTTGTCGTGGGATGATGATGGTGATGATGAATATAGATTGATAGTTTCCCTACGAACCTCCTAGATACAATTTGACTAGGTAAACTCAATAATCGGCTCTAACCAGCACTCCTAATCGTAATAAGAAGGCAAACTGGAGTGTAAAGATCTCGCTCACAAAGAACTTAAAAGAAATTAATGATGAAGAATGCTTCGAAGGTACAAGGCAATCAACACTTGCAAAAATGAACTCTCGTTGTATATTATTAATCAAATAAATCTGATTTACAAATTTGAATGAATCCTCCTTTATATAGGGTGAAGAGTCCTTGTTGTAACATGACTAATGAGTAAAGATAATGTCTCGATTCTATCATAATTCCTAATGAAATAATAATAAACTAACAATAATATTTTAACTCGATCTTAATTCCTAATAAAATAATAATTTTAATCCTAAAAGACAGTGAATCATCCTATATTAAATTATATTACAAATAATTAATAAAAATATTAAAATTTTGTAATATTTATAAAATCTCGTATTAATCCCATATAGAAATTTTTTGCATGCGTTGTCTTTAGTAAAATTAATGTATCTTTAGTTATCGATATCGGATTGATGCGATTCAAGTACCGTTGGAAAGATAAGAGACAGTTAGTCATATCTCCAGAAGACATATTAACCAAATAACACTTGGATCTCATTCAAAAAATCGTCTCAAGTCTACTGTTGTTTTGGTCTTCGTTTTCCAGGATTGGGCGTGTGGTTCAATTGGAAGATTTAGTCCATCTTCCTTTGAGTGAGCCTTGTAGTGCATGTATTAAAACTCATCTGGGCGGTCAATACTACGAGCTGGTTGGCCACATCCTGCAAGGTCCTTCGATTCGCCTCAGTTGTTCATTTTTGCTCAATGATGATACATTGAAGGGACATCAGTAATCGTTCACACATCGAACTACATTCCTTAATCATCGAATCAACTCCGTTTCCATCCCCCATTAACTCTCAATGAAAGAACCAATGTTATAAACTTAAATGCTCAAGCAATATTTTCAGTGAAGAGCAAATTAAGCAATAAAGAAGATAAGAGGAGAGATAGAAAAGAACAGAAGAGATAATTAGATAGAGAGAGAGGATATCATATTATTACAATTTTTCATTCCTTTGGTTCTATTCTCTACTGCTTTAATAACTAGCTATCGTAACTAACCCACAAAACTTTATAATGTATTTTCCCACGTGAATCTTTCTCATCACCTATTGTTGACTGGTCAATGGTTGATGTGTGTGCTGAGTTGATATGAGCTACAAATTAGTTCACAACACACACACACACACATACATATATATATATATATATAATTAAAATACAATTTTGTACATGATTGAACAAAAATTAGCCTAATAGGACTCTCGTAGTTTTTCATTTAATTACCAAAAGAAAAAAAATTAAAATTTTATAAACGTAATTACATCAAACCGAAATTTATGTATTACATTACATTCATTAAATCAAAATTCATATACAAATTTGAAATTTACCCCTCTAAAACAGTTTTCTGTTTTACTTTCCATAACGATACATTATAATTATATTCAATATCTTTCTATTTACGAATCTTCGTACTGTGCATAGCTAATTATAGTAGTTGATTTTTATTCTAAATTCATTTATTTAACCGTTGAATCATTTCATTTATTAAGAATTAATAAATTATGTTTTCTATTTTTCGCAATAAATCTAAGATAAATATACGGGATAATATTTGTTTAAAGAATTTCAATATTTTGACAATAAGGGCTTATACCCCTAGCATACGCGGTGCTCAAACTCGAGACCTGAAATAACAATAAATCCTTTAACCACCAATATCACTTAGTTCGTGCAAAAAGTATATTTTCGAACAGGCAGAACAGAGAAATGGCAACGAACATTGCAAAATTCCTAGTGTTGAAAATTTATGGTCCCTTTGCATGCATCTAAATGCTAATTGACAACTTCTAAAAATAAATCAGAAAACTAAACCATGTTAGGCCTTTGTGGAAGTAGAAGATTGTAGAACTTATCCTGCAAAAAGAAGCTCTTTCCCTTGCTGTCCACAGATTTTTTCCATCCACACCATCCCCCATTTACGATCTTCTTCACATCATCACTTCCGGTATAGTGGGGGTCTAATATTAGAAATGCACACTCTCCGGTTGCTTCATTGTAATCGACTCCGAGAAGGGTGTATGCAAGAACACCACCACCTGCGTCCAACAACAATCATGCTCTCTTTACCACAAACGACGTTTTCTATTTTTACTTTTTGAAAATCTCATTCATTAATTACCAATCATAATCGGTGTTCCTTGAGTTTCGAAATGTAATGCCAGTTCTCGACATCTTTCAGGAAGCTCAGATCCCGACCTAACGTTCATGACTTTGCAGCTAACCTGTTAAACAAGCATCTTGTCAAGGCATAATTAACAAAGACAGAACATGATTGAACTATATATAACTTTCTGAAACATGTATACTTACACCCAGAAGTTTATCCAAGACAAAGCTCAATTCAATTGCACCAATCCATTCATGCGACCCAATGAAAGCAGGATCCTTGTCACCAATGTCTACAAGCGACTGTTGTATTTCCCTAATAAAAAGGTGCTATGTTTATTGATAAAATTACATCACATGCATTCTAAAGGAAAGGTATACAGTGATTCCTATAACTTGTCTATAACCTGTCCACATGAAATATAATCATGGCTTCTACTCAGATGCAAATGAGCAAAACGTCAAAATATGTACATTGGGACTACCAAAAGGAAAATGGAAATAAAGCTTTAGAGTAGAAACCTTAGCTTGCTACCCACTTCCTACCTGTGTGAAGGAACATCTACGGATGAATAATGTTGGAGTCTGAACCAGGAAATGATAGTCTGAAGTGAGCGGTAAGCGCAACCCCATCCCTGTGAAGTCAGTTATATAAGTTAGTCGAGAACCACCATCAAAATCAAAACAATCTTTAATTTATCAGCATCACTAGAACAGTAAGACAAGATGCAACAAATAAAGAAATGTGCCAAGAAAAATGGAAGATTAGGCAAATAAGAATGAACATCATTGATAAAGAAATAGATCTTCAGACCAAAAAAACTTATTCACAACTTGTAGACAACCCTAGCAAATCTAGAAACCATTGAAGAAAGAAAACTTCTGCTTGCAAAACCATGTACGAACTTGCTAGATAAGAATTACATACAATGTTGATTGAATATTCTAACAGATGATTGGGAAGCATGATAATTGTGCAAGTAAAGCAACATGTTAAAGCCATAAGAGAATTATAAAAGATTCAAAAACAAAGAAGATAGTCCCATACTGAATCATCAAAGCCATCTTGAAGATAATGATAGTACTCATAAGAACCTTGAACTAGAGAGACATTGCCTCCTGATACTGCACAAAAAAACGGGGAAACAAATAATCTTTTCTCCAAAACAAAAAAGTTAACAATGATAAAAAGAGGGTAAAAGTTTTTCTTTTTTTTTAATAAAGAGAGATTATAGCCACTAACCCCCACTCCTTGGAATCCCAATATGCACATCTTTAAGCAAAGAAGAGCCTGCATTACGCCAATTATCAAATGAAAATGTTAACGGCAGAGGAAACATAAAGAAAAAATAAAGGTGGCATAAAAAATGTCTAAATTTCCATTTCGTACTCTATTTCAACGATTACCTTTTCTTGTTGAACTCCTACTTGAGCGGTCTTTTATGGACATGTCCAGCGAATTGGCAATTCTTAGGAGAGGACGATCCAATGGCAACCCCAGCCTCAGATGTAGGGATCTTCTAGCATCAACTGCCAAACATAAATTACAACTATCAAAATCAAGATAAGAACTAATAGCTTTGTTACTCAAAAAAAAACTTTCTGCAAAACGGTATACTTTTATATAAGCAGAAAAAAATAATATTGATGGTAAATGATATTTTTTCCTGTGCAAGGTTGAGAAGAAGTTCAGGGTCAATATCCCATATTTGCGAGAGATTGTGATAACGTATCGTAGAAATGAGCCAGTTTTACCTCTCAAGAGAATACTGATTTTATTGAGCGGTATACACACATATTAATATCCCAAATAATTCAAAAGACACGAGCAATAAAGTAGCTTTATTTGCAGATATGATAATAGATGAGAAAAGGTAATAGTTGTGCTAGTTGAAAGTACTGAATCTTACATCCTCTGAATAATTACTTTACAGAGGCAAAGAATTTCTGCTATCCCACATGCAATACACGATACTGCAATAGAAACAAAATTAAACATTTATCAAGTACCTTGCTTCATTTCAGTCTCCCCGTAATTAAGTTCATAGATAACGGTTATTGGATGCGCTATCCCAGGCGGACTAAAATGATATGGATGTAGCTGCAAAATGCAATTAGTTTCAAGTTATTTTTAAAACAAGGTCAAATTAAAGAATAAAGATGTCTTAGATAAAAATCTGAAGAACTAAAAAATAAACATTGCAGTAACCCTAATTAATAATTATTATATAAATTGAAAACTCAATCAAAGAGCCTTGCCAACATGAAACTATGTCCTAGCTTTCCCTAAGTTATATTAAAGTACTGGAACTAAATAGAAAATTTGTTCATCTCTTCGTAGAAGATAATGACTTAAGTTTGGCATTGCTTTTAAAAGTGATTTTGAAAAGTTCCGTTAAAAATTGATTTTGAAAATATTTTTTAAAAATTGAGTTCAAGGATTTGTGTTTAATATTACTGTCAAAAAGTACTTTTGAAAAGATAAAGTATACAATGGTCCTCACTGGTTATAGCATAATGCTTTGTTGAGTCTCCGATTATTAAAAGTTACAAAATGGTCCCCCATTATAGGGAGTTACTTTGTTAAGTCCCTCGACTATTAAAAGTTACAAAATGATCATCTGACTAATCATTATGTTCCAAACTTGTCATTTTTCGTTAAAAAATTAAAGGCATTCTGAGTTGACTTAACCTACTAATTGAGATATGATAAAATCTGATCTCATAATCTCAAACGACTATCATAACTCAATTAGCAAGTTAATGTCCAACTTAAACGACCGTTAATTTTTTAATGAAAAATGACGAGTTTAGAACATTATGAATAATCAGGTAACCATTTTGTAACTTTTATTAGTCGAGGAAATCAACAAAGCAACTCCCTGTAGTCAGGGGACCATTTTTTTAATTTTTAATAGTCGATAAACTCAACAAAGTATTATGCTATAATCAGGGGATCATTTGTGTACTTTACCCAAAGATAAAATGTCTATTTCAGACATGATATTTTAAAATTGATAATAAGTTAAGTAATATCTAAATTTGTTAACATTATAATATATGAAATAAACCGATTTAAATTATTATAAAAATATAAACAAAATCATATACAAACATAATCAATTTGATCATTAATAAAAAAATTCGGAATAATTTTAAAATAAAATATTTGTATACTCAACATAAATACTGTAAAAAATACATTATTTTATATTCAATGAAAATATTTAGATGATTATATTTATACATAAAAAGATCTTTAAAGTTTTATCAACTTATATCTAACAATCAATTTGATCATTCATAAAAAAACAATTAATATATAATTATACATGTTTATGTATTAATTTAAAAATCAATTAAAATTAAATATTCGAGGATAAAAATGTAATTTCATCCCAGAAGTGATTTTCCATGAAAAAAGCTGGAAATTTGAACTTTTGAGGCTAGGTTGAAAATCACTTTTCTAGCCATGATTTTAAACCAAATTTTTGGATGTTTGGCATTGCTTATGGGGTGGAACATCATTTTTCCAAAGCCAGAAACGTTCCCAAACGGGATAATTCTGCACCTGAATACCAAGATAATATTACTAGTCAAGATTCCCTAGTGTCAGATGTGCTTGGTGTCAAAACATATTGTGGCTAGGAATTCCATTCAGTTGGAGTGTTATCTTATAGCCTCTCGAGGTTAAAATTTCGGTGGCTCTTTAACACTTGATCTTCAGAAATTTATATGGTATATAGGATATAGACTACAGTGATATAGAAACATGTTTTAGTGTGAATTAATGGATGCTTTAAGAAAGATTGTGAAACTGGAAAGCTGCAGCCAGGTTGATCAACAAAAAGGCAGAGCTGATGAACCAAAATTTCACAACCTATCAATAATGGCTAAATCACAGAACATGTTAATGGAAGACAAACAGGGAAACAAGGGTGGGTGTAAAGGTAAAAGAATACATAATGCAAAATTCATTCTGAAGAAGATACAAGGAATAACAAAGACCCTATTATAATATGATATGTGAAAAATTACCTCTGGATGTTGCGTTAACAAATTAGGCAAGGCCATTTGCTTCATAGAAATTAACTGGTCAATTAACCCAGGGATGATTAATTTTGAAATGGCATGCATCAATGGGAAGCCCTGGAGTGCATAACAGAGTACCTCTAGCTTGAAATCCACAATCAAAAGTCTAGTTTCTTCCATAGCTGATAGAAGAAATTGCATTTGGTAAGGCAGACAAAAATATAACAAGGACCTTGTGAGTATAAAACAGACTTACATGAAATAAGCAAACATGTTGCAACATTTGTGAAATTGAAGACAATACCTGGGATATATTCCACAGTAGGTGCACTGCATTTTGGAGACTTTTCTGATCTATTAAGCATAACACTTACTTGGAGTATATCTGCAGCCTAAGCAGAAACACGTTTAAAAAAATCTAATGCTAACTGCCACAAAAATAGATAAACTGTAATGCAGTATATAACAAGATGCCAAAAAAGAGATACTATCAACCCTGTTAATATAAGTATGGCATCTGATAATTCTTGGCAAATTTCTTTACCTCAGCAGAAAACAAGGATTTACTTTTCAAACAAAAGTGTGCACATGGTAAAAGGTTTTGCTCAGAACTCTGAGAAGCTTCATCCAACAGCTCAAAGTTTGGGGCAGTTGTGTCAAAATCCAAATCTGCGCCACGAAGAATGATAGGTTGAACCGCATCTAAAGAGGCTTTATTGGATGCTTCCACCATATACACAACATTTGGATCTTCAAACTTAGCAATGACTACTTCAATTGCACTCAAGAAGATACTCTCCACATCTGAAGTACATTAAGAACCTTATCCAATTAAAACGAGAAAAGAAAATAACCCAACAAATCCAAGCATAAAATATAATTACAGAGATATTTCCAAGAAGCACATATACATAATGCATGAAGAATTTCATGTCCAGATCCACAACCAACATTGTAGAAAAGCCAAGCTCAAGAAATCGTTCCAAATTAAGGGCAGGCTCACTAACAAAACCTGGACCTCTAGTCTTAATGACTAAATGCTTACACTATGTTACTCGGACAGGGGTGTGTCTCGGATACAACAATGAGTTAACCACAGACATGTTTAACATTTTTAAAGTTTTCATGTTTATTTAGAGGGCCATGTCCCCATATCAATCTCCTGAATATTAGAACTACTCCAAGAAAAATGAAGTCATAGTAACATAGCTTCTGTGTATAACACATAGAATCTCCACCTAAAAATCCCTAGCCGCCTTGAAATTTGACAAACATTTAACTAGCCCCAAATATCTTGATAATATGATCTGTGCTAATCGCATTCCCCATTCCATAAGAAAAAAATATAAAATCATCAATATTCAATTATAAAAAATTCTAAGGACGTGCTTAACAATTTCAGCAACTACCAAAGCCCCCATAATAATAGACTTTCACACCGCCATAAACTACTTAGCTGATGTGACAAACATTCAAATACCATAAAGTAGTACTTAATAATAACATCAACTACAAAAGAATGACTAATTCAAATGTGAGCTAAACATGGATAAATCCCATAAAGAAAAGAAGGTACCAGATGGATTGTTTACAGGAAAACAGACGGGCAACTTAATTGGAAGCTGACAGAGTAGTAAACAACCACTTTCCCACAAGAATTTCTCAGGATTAGCATCGTACAAAACAGAATTAACCAAGTCAAGGCTAGCCGAACTCTCATTCTCCGATACAAAGAAACGAATATCCCCTGTATCCGGATCAGCAACGGAGCCGATCATCTCTTCATTTTCCAAATTTGTCCTTCCAGATAAAACTTTTCTCAAAGTCCGAGCAGCTTCAACAGCTCTAGCCGCTGTCTTCTGGAGATCGGATTTCCCAACGATTAACGCTCCAATTACATCGAAGCCTTTCAAGAGTAGTGTCCTGATTTCTTCTGTTCCAGTTGGAATAAAATGAGGGAAATTTTGGGGAAAATCAAATTAAAATTGAATTTCAGATTTTTCAGAAACAGGGTTTTGGTGTTTACCTGATTCCTTGAAGAAATCCGGGCCGGAGGAACCGAAATGGATGCATCTGAAGGTAGAGATGATAGTCAGCGGATGGAAAAATGGGGATCCGATTAGCCATTGGAGATCCGATTCGTTTCGGGTGATCAACAGCTTAGGGCACTCGATTCGTATGCTTCTATTGTTCTTCTCCATTGAATAGACTACCCAAAATCAGGACGTGTATTCAATTTCAAATCCGGGGTTGAATTTGATGGTATAATATTTTAGAGGGTAAATTACACAATTAATAAATAAATTTTCTTCTTCTCTCTTATTTGTATAAATGTAATTTAAAATTTTTCAATTTAATAACTAAATTTTATATATTGAATTTTTTAGTCAATCTAACTTTATAACGAAAATTGTTTGATTAACCAAAATAATTTTCATGCGTGCATTTTCATTTCTTAACCAAAATTGTTTGATTAAATTTAGTGAGAGGACATATTAGTGGTAGGGTGAACGTTTGATCGAGTCGAGTTGAATAAAAAAATTTGGATTGACGAGTTTTATTTTATAACTCAAAATTAACTTGAAAAATTTTCGAGTCGAGTAAAATTTTACTCACCTCTAATCGAATGAACCTTGAGCCATAGGAAGTAGAGCTAAATTAGAAAATACACGACGGATATGGGGTCATGGGGTTTTCTCAAGGCTTGTCTCGTTTTTGCTTTGCACCACTATGTTTGCTACGTGGAAACAGGTTTGTTTTCTTTTATGTTTGTTTTATAATTATGTAATAGATTTATAAATATTATTCCTAACAATATTATTTTTTATAATGTGTCTAAATTTCATATTTTAAGCATCACATATCTTATTGTTATTTTTTGCAACAACACATTACAATTTTGTTCAAGAATCAATCTCAGCTCCTCGGTTCTCGTTCAACGACTACGTCATAATCATAGTATTAAATTACGGTTGCAACGCAGTGTAACAGTCGTATCGTAACAGTTTTAAAGGTTACCGCAAAGTAATATCAGTACAACGCGATAAGAAAACTGCATCACGTATATTGCGATCTAAAAACATTTCATAACACCGCAATACCACAACAAATTTTTAAATTATCCAAAATATCAAATTACATTGATGAAATATTTTTATTTAATCCTTAAAAATGAATTATAAATATATATCATTATTAATAATGTAATAATTATATTTAAAACTAACTACTTAAATTTGAATTATTTAATTATTTATTCACGTTATTTTAAAATTAAATTATTTTAAGATTAAACAAATTTTAGTTTAAACTGAATCATCTCTCATAATTAAAATTAACTGAATTAATTTTAAATTAAAATTCTTAAATTGACATTAAATACCATAATTCTATATTTATTTATTATTATAAAAAATTCGCATAAAAGAGAAATTCACTTTATAATACTATATTTTAAAATCAAATTTAAAGAATGAAGAAAAGTCTCTCATCTTATTCTATATTATTTAGTATTCATAATACTACATGTATTTTACATTTTCACTACAAAACCGTTAAACTTTACCTAGTTTATAATATAAAGTAAATAAAAAATAATACTATAAATAAATAAAGAAGAAAATCAATTCCTGGACATATACATTTGACTAGAGAAGAAATTAACAGTAATGTGTAAGGGGTTGTTTGTTTACTTTAGATTGATTAAGCGTTGAATGATTCAAATTCTGAATGATTCAGAGACTCTGTATGAATTAGCTCTAAATATGACATGTTGTTTGATAATGGCTCTGAATCATTCAGAATATACTTATGTGCTGAATCAGTCAGCACTGTTTTGTTGAATCAGTCAGCACTGAATCATTCAGAGGTACGAAACAAACACGCTGAATGCTGAACGGTTCAACACTGAATGGTTCCATTAAGAGGCAAACAAACAGCACCTAAGTAAAGGACTAAAGCAAATATTAGATGTTCTGTTTGCAAATGTTAAAAAATAATTGAAAAAATAGATTTCAAAAATCAAAAAATTAAAAAAAAAAAGAAGAAAAAATCACAATACCTTACAAAGAACCAACGAGAGGAAGATAAATATAAACTTTGAGTTTCAAAAATTTCATATCATTGTCTCTACAATTCTAAGAGATAGTTTCTTCTAAATTTCTCAATGTTCTTCCTCCATCATTTCAAGAGATCATTTATCTGCTTTTTCATTTCAACTTCAAGACTTGTTCATCTCAACTCAACATTGAATGGAAAAATACAAGTTTTATTATTATTATTTTGTTTATTACTTAGTTTAAAAATTAAATTTATCTTCCTAGTTGAATTTATGATTGTTATAGGATTGTTATGAAATTATTATTTTAAATATTTAATTAATAATTAGTTACATTCATATTTTGTTATCTAAACATTTGTTTCACTTTTAAAATAGTTTTTTGGTGTTAGTTATAAATTTTTAGTTTTTGTGAATCCTTTGTATTATCAATTTCAAATTGATTCAAACAAATCTCAAAATACATGAAACTTTAAAGAACTAAATAAAAAATAAAATAGAACAAGAAGCATTCAAAAAAATGCTTTATTAGATTAACATTCTTTACTTTTTGAACTGTGGTATTATCATTACAAAATGACATTATGATTTTCTTTCATTTTTTGAATATGTTTTATTTTTGTTTTAAGTTTAATAAATATTATTTTATTTTTGAATACTTTATCAGTTGATTTGATTTCATTTTTGAACACAACGTCAAAGAGCAAGAACTGGTAAGGATTCAGTTAATGAACCTGGGTAGGTAGTACTTCTGAATCTAAAAAATTCAGAAGTTCATTCAGTATCATTGTCACACCCCAAAATAGGGCATAAATTCTCTTAAAAAAAATTTAGGACTAAATTAAATTTTGATTAAATTCAGATCCAAATTCAGAAAGCAACTAAAGATGGAGGACCTATGGCATGATTTTTCCATTTCTTTTTAGGGTTATATAGGAAAAAATTAAATTTATTTTGTTCTCTCTCTAAAATTTTCCTCTTTTAGAAAGAAATCTTTGATCGTCGATTCATCGTCAACCGTTGCTCTGTTTTTAACATATCCCGCACCATCGTGTTTTTTGCGTCATCCCGAGTCCACCGGTGTCCTTCTTGTCTCCGTTGTTACCGGTGTGTGAGGGGTATGGAAGATAAAGTTTTTGTCGTTTCGAAATCGAGCTCTCCGCCGTTCACCGTTGTGAATCGAGCTTGGTAAGTGCCTCAAAACCCCTTAAAAATAATTAGGAATTTTTTTTGGAATTTTTCCGATCCTGTAAAGTCCCATACGTGCCCCCACGCATCGCCCCTACGCGTGGGGAAAGTCCACCGCTAGGTGGGCTGCTTGGAAATGGGTCGATCCGACCCACCGACCCGACCCGCTGACCCTTCTCCGACCTGATCCGATCCGACCTGGTCCGACCGTTGACCATTGATCGACCGTTGACCGTTGACTTTGACAAAAAAGTCAAAATTTTTGAAAAGTCATATTTAATGTTTTTCGATGTCTTGAGTCTGATTTCGAAATCTGTTTTGCCAAATTCTGACACGAAATCCCTGAATTGATCCCGTTAATCCGAAAATGCTCAGTGTTTTTAAAATTTTTGCTTAATTTATTATGATTTGATTATGGAATTGATTCGAGAATATATTCTTATGAAAATACTCGTGTTTCACCTGACCGAGAGTCGATTAGATCTGGTGTTTCTCGTCCGTCAGACCTGCTCGATCCGCGTTCTACGAGAGTTACTTGTAGGTTTCCGTAAATTATTTAAATAAAGGTTAATATTATTCATATTAGGATTTCAATATGTATTTTCTGATTCATAGGATATAGCATTGCCGCTGATCGTGATCGATAGACTCAATAGTAGGCTTCCCTATAAGACTACTCAAACCGATACAAGTGTGTTTCTTGTTGTTGTTACATTACTGTTTTTAACTATCTGTCTGAACTGTTTTAGATTTCTGGTAATACTAAATACTTTTAGGACATAATACATGATTTTCTAAACAAGGTTTATTTGATATCTGATTTATTGTATATTTCTAATATGATATCTGGATTACCGTATTTTCATATCTGATTTCTGAAAATAGAATATTTTCATGTTTTAATGGATTAAACTTTCATTTTCATTCAACTACATACATGTTATTTATGTCATTGGGGTTTTTATTGGAGGAAGTATCTCAGGTCTAGTCTATGACTTGTAAGACCTTACCTCTTACTGCAGACTCATCGGCTTTGTGCAAGGTAACTCCTTACTACAGGCTCCTCTGCTTTGTGCACAGGATAAGACCTTACCGCATGATCCTCTGCTTTGTGCATATGGTAAGCCCTTACTGGGTGTACAGGTGGGCGTATGGTTTTGGGGAACCTACACATTCTGGTGATCATACGAGGGTAGTGTTCATGTTTTTAAAACATGTTTGATAAACCGATTTTACTGAAGTATTTTATTTGTATGTTTTTATACACCGTAAGGAGCATACTAAGCTATTTAGCCCATTCCATAAATTTTAACATTTTCAGATAATAGCATACTAGGCTAGCAGACTTGGAATAAGGAGGATTGACTACTACTTTTGTACTACTATATATCCCTATATGCTTTTGTTATACTTTGGTGACACGTGTTTTGCTACCATCTTGATGTATATGTATTGCCGGTATTTTGTTACGTAAATATTTCATACAATGTTTTGATATATGTATATATATAAATTTATCGTATGAATCCTTATTATGGATAAATTTCTTATTATATTGTTATATGGATTTTAATGTTGTTTTAAATATGAAAAGAATTTTTGAATGTGATATGTGACCGTCTAGATTTGGGCATAAGGTCCAGGCCAGGTCTAGGGGGTTACAACCATTGATTCTATAAGAAGTGGGAGGGAGCATCAATAGAGTAATTTTGACTCTCATGGAGCTAGATTAGCAAATATGGATCCCATTATTGAAAAATCAAAGAGTTTGAAATAACCAAAACTCGCTACAAGCTTTTTGAAAAATGCAAAAGCAAAGCTAGGGAAAACAATTTCAAATTTAATATTGTATGAAGCTTTACTAGCAAGAATTGCAGAGTCACCATTTCTACAGTCTGTACTTCAAGTTGCAGATGAAGTTGGAAAATCAATTAGGAGTCTTTCAGCTTATGAGGT